ATGCCCCTTCATACATCCTCACACGACCTCACACAAAGTAGGTTCTACGGATGACCCCTGAAACACCCCTGAAACAACTGTCGTCTACTCCGTCCGTACCGCGAAACCAAGCAAAAATATCCGAGCTAGATGCCTCCCGCCCGATCCACTCGGGGTCTCTGTTAATCACAACCATCTCAGCTGAATCAACTCGGTGTTTCAGGTCTATCATGTGTGAGGCTTAACGCCATAGTCATTAATATAATATTGTAATATAAGTTTATCTAAGCTATGGATACACTCCAATATGCGAACTGATGGAGAAGTGGCTGATGGCTTATACAACGGCCCACTTTAACCTAGTGCTAATGGCCTCTGGCGTTTGTAAGATTCATCACTTTTGTACATTCGTAGGGTAATTTTGGATATGTCTATCATTTACGGAGTACTTCGTATATTGATATATCTGACACGTATTTACTTATGATGAGTCTTGAGTCGATATGCACCATGTATCTGTTCTTGCCTGTGTTCAACAGCTTTGATCCACTGTGGTGTGTCGAGTTCATACTGCTCATATCTGGTATTTTTCAATTGGCTCGCCTCTAAACGCATCCTACAATATATACAATAGATTGTGTCCACGGTTGTTATAATAGCGTACTGACGCTTGATGTATAGATTTCCGATTGGTGCGTATGCAGGATCGTGTTAGATATGTAGTCTCGTAGTCTAGCATACAGGAGGTGACCATAGATAAGGTACCATGCTTCCACTAATGGTCTGTCCTAAACATTTATACAGCTTTTCAGTTCTAATGTGCTCAGAAATGGTCGACAAAGTGCTAGCCGTTGATTGATCTCATATGGGCTATAGCCTTAGTATTCTTCTAGACTTCCTTAATCTGAACCTGTGACCTAATATGATAACTGGTGAAGTATACGGTGCTATATTACTACCTTGTGGTAACTGGACAATGTAGACTTTCTGTGGTATGCCGCGCAAAATGGCAATGTTCTCTTGGAGAACCACGAGCTCGTTCAATGTTGAATTTGTCGGAGCATCACTCAGGCATCATGTCCGAGTAATTGCTTCATGGTTCGTATATTCGGCCTTGGGTGACTAAAAAGGGACGCGCATGCCTAACAGGATCCATCTTCTACATTATACAATGCTTGGAATAATCATTCACAGGAAGTAACTGGAGGAATGTATTCAATGTTTCTTCATTTGATGGCTATCGGCCGCAAATACAAGCAGGACTCGAGGCTTGTTTGGGCATTGTATTGTAGGCTTTCTCGCAGCTCAAGGGTAAGATACATTATTGGTGCTTCAACCCTCAGACAGAGAAATTTGGGCTTAAAAGTCACATGTCTCAAATCATGGAGGGAATACGTCCATCGCCAGATTCCTTCATGTCCCCATGAATATCCAAGAGCCCAACTTCTCAGTTCAGTTCTCTGCTTCAAAGTATCCACAGCACTCTGTCGTACAGCTCTGCCTCGGGACGGCCTGTCATTTGCACCATCAGGTCGACTGACTCCTCCACTCCGATCCTGACTGTGCGGGTTTCTTCGAGTCTCACCACAAAGCGCAGTGCATCGTCAATAACAAAGTCCTCTTCCAGTCTGATCAAACCCTGGTAGTGAGCACTGACTCTGTGGGCGTCGAGTTCATGGAATTCGCGATTGTGGTCAATTGAAAGCGAGCCGAAGACGCGAATGGTCACCTTGACGTCTGTGAATTCTTTGAAAATATTTGCAAAGCTCAACGTGTCGCTAGTGATGGAGTCCCAGTGAGCCAATACAAAGATGATGTTGCGGGCGTAGGTTCGGCCATACACGAGTATGTCGGTCATGGACTGGACTGAGTCGCAATCTGGATCCAGGGGGGTGGTGGATTTATGAATCAATGGGCAGTAGCAGTAGGGTCGGTTCTCTAGCTTTCCATACTTGCGCTCAAACCCCTCCTGGAGCTCTAGCAGGGCGGGACGAAGATAGTACTTCAGCTGACCGAGATCATCGTACATGCGAGGTGGAGCGCCACGAGCAACGAACACAATCAGAGGTTCCGAGGCAGGGCCAGCGGGAGGGCCAACGGGAGCACCCGTAATAAAGCTTTCAGTGGTATCGGATTCCGCCATATCGAGCTTAGTGCTGCTTGGTGGTTCGTTAGATTCCTGTCTTTGGATAGAGGCGTGAAACAACGATACCTTGGTCACACCGGTTCAGAGGCTGCTGTAGAGCGTAAGATAGCGATGGAGGAAGGAAGTAACATTTTGGAAGCAACATTTTAAATAATGAGGCTCGATGGTCGACACACAATATCAGAGCAAACTGTACTTATATTGGAAGGTTAATAAGGTCAACAAGGTCAATAAAAGCCAATGAACCATCCTCTTGGGGTCTTATTCGCCTAGTATTGAGGATTATGAGGTTGCTGAAAAGGATTGGCGAGAATATCGTCTTGCCTTTTGAGGCTTCGATAGTCATGCCTCTCAATAATCCCGAGATCGGTGTCAATTACCGTTTGATATCCGTCTCGGGGGTGACTTGTTTTTGCCTCAAGCTCAAAACAAACACACTTCATATCTTGAAATATGCAAGTCTGGTTGCCAATGGCTCCGTTCGCATGACTGGCAATACAGTTGTTATCATTTATCAAGTTGAGTTGTTGATGTGCTACTTTTTCAACTCTGATATATCCCAGCCTTATATGTATTCTGCTTTATAAATATATTGTTTATTAATATTGTTGTAAGCCGACTGAACGACTTACAGGCTTTGAAGAGGCAGTTTCCTTTCTTTATGAAAGCTTGAATTTGATCTTCCTACCACCAAAGGTGTGAGGTCGCTATGTTATATAGAGGCGCACCGAACCGTTGGGATCGGATCGGAGATCACAACGCCCAATATAGTCCCAGGTAGACATAACAGAAATTCCAATTCTTAGTTGGGATAGTTCGTTTTGATATCTTCAAGGGAATCAATTGCCAAGTATATGAATATCCTAGCAAATACAGCGGAAACAATATCCAAGAGGTTGTTTCAAGCGTATCGGAACCGGCCTGACTTTCCTCACCGGGCGGGCCCGATCTGGAAGCTGACTAAGATGGCAAAATTGAAGAGAGTTGTTGGGACGGGAAAAAGGTGCTTATCATCTTCAACGTACCATCTCCAATTCCCTCACAAAATGCTCTTCCGTGCTGCGGTCCGTCAGGCTGCGCCTTTGAGGCGTCAGGCCTTCACTCCTATTGCCCGTCGCACTGTCACCACCGACGCCGCTTCCGCCAACGTCGAGAGCCCGGTGCCGCAGGTTTGTTGAGCCCTATCCGGAAAACTGAAAAACCTCACCGGAAGGTTTCCGGGTTTCAATTGCTGATGCTTGTTTGCGCTATAACAGGAGGATGAGAAGCTCTTCACTGTCCGTCTCTCCGATGAGAGCTTCGAGACTTACGAGCTCGACCCACCCCCGTACACTCTCGAGACCTCCAAGAAGGAGCTCAAGCAGATGTACTACGACATGGTCGCGATGAGGTACGATAATCACAACATCGGATGCTCGAACTAGCCACTGACTGCTTGTTCTTTTGCAGACGTATGGAGATGGCCGCCGATCGCCTGTACAAGGAGAAGAAGATCCGGGGTTTCTGCCATCTGTCGACCGGACAGGAAGCCGTCGCCGTCGGAATTGAGCACGCCATCACCCGCATGGACAAGATTATCACCGCTTACCGTTGCCACGGTTTCGCCATGATGCGTGGTGGTACCGTCAAGTCCATCATTGGTGAGCTTCTCGGCCGTCGTGAGGGTATCGCGTACGGCAAGGGTGGTTCCATGCACATGTTCGCCGAGAACTTCTACGGTGGTAACGGTATCGTCGGTGCCCAGGTGCCCGTCGGCGCCGGTCTGGCCTTCGCCCAGCAGTACAACGAGCAGCCCAACACCTCCATCGTTCTCTACGGTGACGGTGCCTCCAACCAAGGCCAGGTCTTCGAGGCCTTCAACATGGCCAAGCTGTGGAACCTTCCCGTTCTCTTCGGTTGTGAGAGTAAGTGATTTATATTAAGTCTTTACAGTCTTGAAACCCCACAGATGTACTAACGATAGGTTCTTCTAGACAACAAGTACGGCATGGGTACCTCCGCCTCGCGCTCCTCCGCTCTGACCGAGTACTACAAGCGTGGACAGTACATCCCCGGCCTGAAGGTCAACGGCATGGACGTCTTGGCCACCAAGGCCGCCGTCCAGTACGGCAAGAACTACGCCATCTCTGGCAACGGACCCCTCGTCCTAGAGTACGTCACTTACCGTTACGGTGGTCACTCCATGTCCGACCCCGGTACCACCTACCGCAGCCGTGAGGAGATCCAGCGCATGCGCAGCACCAACGATCCCATCGCTGGGCTCAAGCAGAAGATGCTCGAGTGGGGCGTCACCTCCGAGGAGGAGCTCAAGGGTCTCGACAAGACCGCCCGTGCTAACGTCGACGCCGAGGTCGCCGAGGCTGAGAAGATGCCCGTCCCCGAGAACACTGCCCGCAATCTCTTCGAGGACATCTACGTCCGTGGCTCTGAGCCCAAGTGGATGCGTGGTCGTACCGTCGATGAGACTTTCTACTACTAGATTGTTTCGCCCTATAGGCACTTCTGTGCATCATGGAAGAGCTTTTAATCGTTGTGTGAAGGCTCGGGAAAAGATTCTTGGGTCGTTCTATCATTTATCTGTAATTTAGCCCGATGACTATTTTCTCTTATGTTTGTTTACGTGTTTTCTGTTCTAGAGTAGAGAGCAATTGCCATCGGCTGGGTCCTTGTCAAGTCAAGTGCATCAAATTTGAGGAAGTAGTCTTGTAATGTCTTCATCAAGAATATCAAAAAAGTTCAAGAATTCGCTGTCGATAATGGGTATCATATCAGAAAGAGAGAGAATAACAGTAAAAGTACAAGCAAGAATAGAAGGAAGCGAGACGGCACAAGGCCATGTCTAGAGAAGAAGTACCGGACTAAGACTTCATCTGCATCAAGCAGGCTCCTGTCTCAACATCTCAAGAATCAGGTCCTGAGTCCGCTGCACAGAATCCAGCTTTTCTTCCATCGCAATACGTTCACGCTCCAGCTCACCTCGAAACTGGGCCTGCATCTCCTGCCGGAGCTCTTCCTTCATTTGTTCAAATTGAATGAGGGTCGGACCTTGCGGTGGTTGGGGCTGTTGAATCTGTAATACGGGTTGTACTTGTGGGTGCTGTGGTTGCCGGGGAGAAGCCAAAATCTGTGATTCCGAGGCAGCCTGCACCAAAGCCGAGATCATGGGTGAAGCCGCACTCGCATCTATACCACCACCCGATGCAGCATCTAGGTGTTTGTTCAGTTTCCCCAGGGTTTCGAGGACAGCTGAGACCATACGACCATCGGATTGTGGAACTGGTGGGGTGGGTATGGAAGGAAGAAGTGCGACTTGTGATGTGAGTTGTGGGGTTGAGAACATATTCTCGAAACCAGGTGGAAGTTTCAGTGGGGTGGTCGCGGAGAGAGGGGTGGACGGTGACTCGAGGAAATGCGTGGGTGGTGCAGGGCTAGTAATTGAGGGCGAGGGCGTAGGGCTGGTAGCCGGTAGTGTAGCATCACCGACGGTGTTGGCGACAGGGTGGTGCACCATACCCATCATTGAGGCGTTAACATCAGCTGGGCTAGTGGCAAATGACCCAGGCAGGTTCTGCCATGGATCCTGGTCTCCGTTTTTGGAATTCTGGCGCCAGGGCTGCGGCTGTCTACGCTTCTTAAGCTCATCCCGCTTTGCAATGCGCCGGTTCTCGGCTTCTTCCCACCGCTGCCAGGTCGGAAGCCAGGCATCGACGGCAGCGAGCCATTGCGGGTTCATCAACTCCTCGGCTGTTGAGCCGGGTGCGTTCGAGCCCCGCTGTCGCTGATCCTCGAGGAACTTGATGCGCTGCCTCGTGACCATTTCGACTTTGCGCCGCACCGAGTGCCACGAGTATGAGCGGCCATCATGGGTGCGCTTGAACTCGTCGGCAATAGATATCCACCACTTGCACAGATTACTGCGGCTGCCGAAGGTGTCTGCGTTTCGGTTACAGATCTCGAAGAGCGCTACTTCTTCTTTGGTTGTGAGACGTCTATGCTGCCGCGAACCGTCGCCATCGAGCTCATCGTCGGCATTGTGGCTGCGCTTCGTGCCTCTGTTATTGGTTGATCTCGACATCAACCTTGACCCATCGCCTTCGCTGGTTTGAGCTACGCTCACTGGCATCGGCGCATAGTATAGATCGTTTTCTAGGATACCTCCTTCACGTGAATCACTTCTGGTTAGGTTTGTCCCCCCAGGCGTCTCTTCGCTGCTCTCTGATGTGTTATCGGCCACCGTAGGTGGATTCCTCACTACCACGGACACGGACTGGGAAGTTGGGCTGAACCCTGAGCGCAGGCCTGATGGTACTATTCCAAACGAATTTTGTGAAGGAGAGTGATACGAATGACGGTTGTATTCGTGTGGTTGAAGGCGTGTCATGGGGACAGCAGCTTGCACAGTAGCAATAGTAGTAGGCGAGCAGCCGCTGTGGGAGAACCAACAGTGCAAGTTGAGTGGTCTATCGGGTTCAGGAGATAGTCTCCTTAGTTCAAAATAGCCATTCAGCCATCAATAGGTTCACAATACTGTAGCAGACCAATGCAGAATGTCCTTGTCGATCTGTGGGGATAAAGATAAAGCTGCGATGGATTTCACCTGAGGGTTTTCTATGAGGTCCGTGCGCCAAGCATATATTCCAGCCCTGGCCATACGATCTTGTAGAGAGGAATGAGCTACAATCGAACTTGAAACAGTAAAATCTCTTCATTGTGCTTAGCTCTAGGTATTCGTTTAAATTATATACATCCTCGCTAGATTTTAGTTTTCATTGGCTACGCGTTTTTATATTTATAATGTATAAATTGGAGCTTCGACCACCTCTAGGTACTTGTCCACAAATTTTAATATGTATGTAGTTACTTCATGTGATGCCCTAATATTCTCTTCGGGAATTAGAAGTAGTACATTAGGAAAAGGCTATTCAGCATAATATCCACCCATAATAAGAGGGTAAAGCAGCCATGTCTACTCCGTACTCAAAAGGATCATACAAATGACGGGCCGATCTACAGCGCGAAACAATAGCATCAATAATATATCCATTTACAACACATCATGGCTATGGTGGTACAGGGGGTGGAGCTGACACAAAAAGCTCCAAAGACAAGCAAAACAGGAACCAACACCATGGTCAACATGATCCAGAAATATGCAGAAAGGGATGAGGGAGATCTAAGCGCCCACTAATACACAGAAGTTTAGGGGAGGGAAAATAGTAAAGTAGTAGAGACAAACGAGAAAGGGACAGGCTAGGCAGAGAAAGACAGGCCAATCGAATCCTCTACCACCGTCTCCTCAGGTACCAGCCATAAGCCGGAGTGGCAATGGACTCGCCAAAGGGAGTGGGCACTTCGGCGGAACCGGGGCGGGCCACGGGGTGGCGCAGGTACACGGCTGCACAAATGTTCTGGTTGACCTCGAGGTAGCGCGGGATGAAGGCAAATGCAGACATGTATTGGCGTGGCTGCCAGGGGGTGGAGTAGGTCTTGGAGTTGTCGAGAGGGTTGTCGCGCATTTGAGTAAGAGCGCGCTGGAGCGTGTCAAACTCTTCGTCGCTGAGCTCCGAGGCATCGACATCATTACCCAGTGTTGCCTGTGCGAAGGCCTCCGAAAGCTTGTCGCTGACTGCGGCTTCTGTATCTCGCTTGGCGGAAGCCACTTCTGTATCTCCGTTTTCGGATGCGAAGGCGTCTTCTGGACGGGGTTTCACATCCTTTTTAACTGGCTTCTCGCTCCGCTTGGCCTTGAGAAGCAGGGTTAGCTGGGAGAATTGAGCCTCCAGGCTGTCTGCGAGGATGGTACTGGACTCCGAGCGGGACAATACGCGGCGGACAGCTTGTTGGAAGCCGCGGAGCTCCTGCTTGCGCTGGGGTGCGAGTGTATCCTTGCCGGCAGACATGACGGACTTGGCCTGTGCCAGTAGCGCCTTAAGAGTCTCTTTAGTATCTTCCTTTGGAGTCTCCTTGACATTTTCCTTTGCCGTCTCCTTTGACTCCGCCTCTGTGGCCTCGGCTTCCTCGGCTTCCTGTGACTTCTGTGATTTAGCCTTTCTCCGAGCCAATCGGCCCTCACGTCGCTCAAACGAAGTCTTCGTGTGACCAGTAGCGTACAAGACGCGGTCTGGATCGACCTGGAAGAGGTCACCAGGGTTAAGGAGGTAGCTGGGGTGTTTCATCTAGCAACACAAAAGCGAGTTAGTAACCAAGAAATTGGTAGCTTGCACGTCGTGTCATACCTTTTGACCGTTAACAGTAACCGCTCCATGGATGACAAACTGTCTCGCCTGTCTGGCGCTGCTAGCAAACAGAGCCCGGAAGATGGCCACATCCAACCGGCGCTCTAGGGGCGCAAAGGTCATGTGGCTGTAAGGTGTAGGACGTGTCTGGTAAGCGGACTTCCCATCCTTATCGAGACCTGAGCCCCGACCGGACGAGACTAGGGAACCGTCATCAGCGGCCAAGTCGGCGGCGTTCATGGGGATAACACTGCGGATGCGATGGTTGAACATGCGTTTCCATTGTCCCTCGCGGACTTGCTCGCCGTGATAGGCACGGGATGCAGCCTTAGCGGACCATTTTTGCTGGAAGAATGTGCGATTGGCGGTGGGCGGGCTGCGGAATCGTTGCAGGTTATACAGGTTGTATTTGCTCCATGATTGACGGATTTTCTGAACAGTATTTTGTTAGTCTTTTGGAACTGGCGAAATCAAGTACAGTAGTAGAGACATACGCCTTTCGACAGCGTGTTGCTAGCTCTGTTTCTCATTGTGGCGATGCTGTAGAAACAATGCTGTATAGCAAAATGATCTGTTATCCCGTCCGAATTGGCCGAGTCTCAAAACTTCAGGGCACGTGACCATTAAAATGTTGCCTTAATTATAAGGAATATGTCACGCTGGTAACGTAATCGGTAAGCGAGTCGGCCATGTAAGCCAGCCGGCCACCCAGTCTAACATACTAAGTTTAAATGGATATATCATAGCCACAACGCCATTAAATTAATGTAACTAAATTCATTTATCTATTTGGACATGTTTCTCTCCTATGCCCCGGCTGCCTACATATTCCACAGGCTCGCCCGGCCCGTATAGGTGGCTGTAAACCCTCCGATACCTGCTCACGATAGGTATTGATACGTGCAACTTGGGCCTCGAATGGTTCCCCACGTAGCTCACGAACCTCCTGGACTGAAAGATCTCCTTCGTGGACTATCGTCCTCGTAGACCGAGTCCGCTTTTGCTTCTGCTTCTCGTTGGCGGCGCGTAAATCGCTCACTTCTTTCTCAAGTAAAGCGGCGGACTGCATTGTGATTTGACAGGCTTTTAAAACCTTGTTTATCGCGCAATTTAGCGGGCTCGGAGGGCTCTTTGATCTAGCACGAAGTAAAGCTTTAATTGACGAAGCTTGCTTTTGTAATTGCACGTAGTTCGAGGGCGTTTTTGGGTCCCAATCGCTCCCCCTACTCGGAGGGGGGGTCGGGGTTCGAAGACGGATATTTAGCTTCGAGATCACTCGATTAGGTGCAAAAGGTATTAAGCCAGCTGCTCCGAAGCTATTCTTAATAGTCTCCGATTTAAAAGCTTCGATTCGTGCGAGGGGGTATGCTTCAAGGAAGTCAAGTTTATCGATATGGTTGATCCCGTTCCGCATTTTCATTTCAACTAGCCGACCATATGATCGCTTTAACACAGCAAAACAACCGATATCCAGGGGTTGTAAAAGATGAGAGGAGTGCGGAGGCATACAAATTGGTATAACCTTATTTTGCTCGCAAATTTCATCGAATTTAGGGGTCAAATGGCTTCCATGTCCGTCGAGTATTAGGAGACGATACCCCCCTTCGTACGCGAAGAAGTGCTAGGAATAAAGAGCTTTTCAAGCCAACGAAGTCCAATTTCATCAGAGGTCCAACCGTTCGGACTAACTTCAAATCGCCAGTCATCCGGAAGGCCATCAAACCATGATTCAATAAAGACTTTGCCTTTAAAAATGATACACGGAGGGAGGGCCCAACCCGACGAATTTGTACACTCAATAGCAGTCACCCATTCGCGATTTCCAGGTTGTAAAAGCGAGCGCCGGCCGTAGAATTCGCTCCTTGTAATCACCTTCGCTGTAGCGATTAGCCCCATCGCGAAGCCGGTCTCATCGAAGTTATAAACGTCATCGGGGTGGATTCCAAATTGGAGGATTGTTTTTTGAACAAGATCGAACCACCCTTGGATGATTTTCGGGTCTTCGCACTTCGCACGTTCGTAATTATAGCGTCTCGAGAATCGGGATGAGAGGAGAGGGTGTCGTTTCACAAAGTTATAAACCCATTTTTCGCCGACCGAAATAACCGGGGTGGTTCCACGTTGTTGAAGTAAAAGGTTCGCCATTTCTCGTACAGTAGAAGGCCGGGGGGCAGATCCACGAGAGTCCATAGAGAGAACCCATCTTTGAAGAGATTCCTCTTCATATTCGGTCAATTTATGCGAATTTGCGCGACAAATCGCGCGATTTTGGTGGCCACGTAGTCGGTCTTGAAGTGTTGAACGTGGTATGTTAAAAACGCGTGCCACTTCGCGAATTGAAGAGATTTCTTTCTTTTTAAAAGCTTCAATAGCTAATAAAACCCTACCCTCTTGCTCTGCTGAATTGCTAGAGGATTGGGAGCGAATTGGTGGCATGGTGCGCGGTTGAATTGACTAAGTGCTAATCTATGGACGCGTTTTGGGCTGGGTGGCCGGCTGGCTTACATGGCCGACTCGCTTACCGATTACGTTAACTAACTAACTAACTATGCGGGATGCATTATTTGCCTGGTTTGCAATGGTTGCCTGGTTTGCATAGTATGTAAGGGTGATGGTAGCTGATTGGCCAATCAATTCTCGCTTAATGCCACCGCCCAGTTAAATTCTGCCACCGCCCTATTGGAGGTGTATATATAGCAGCCTCTCCCCCGGCTCTTCCTCTTCTTTTTCTTTCTTCTTCATACTTACCTTGTTTGGGTGACTGCGATCAACAAGGCGGTTCACCACAGGCTGGTCCCTGCATTGCACAGCGCGGAGGAACAGTCTGTTCAATGGCTTTCGGGTCATTGACAGGCGTATTCTTTGGCACCTCCATTCGTGGAACACTTTCTTTTCATCAATTCTTGAGCCAGTGGCACGAGATTGGAGAAGAGCACCGTAGTTGTCACATTATGTAGCACCGCTAGACTTCTCGAAACGAAGTCATGCAAAGTAGGCACTACATAATTAAACATGCATGATGTCACCCATCTTCTCTCCCGGTCTTGGAGAAGGGACACAGCATTCAGAGTGCCTTGATTAAACCTGGAATGTGCACAACCCGTGTGTGTGGTGCCCAGAATGTCTCCCCCTGTCCTAGACATAA